AAATCTTTGTGTTCCTTAGCTTGCAAATGCATGACCAAAACCCTCATCTTCATCTACACATGATATTATCCCTACATATATGTCTCTGATTTCAAATTTCCCCCTTTTTTCGTTTTAGTTTTCGGCACTGAGGATTGAACCTAGGGGCACTTTACCACTGAGCTGGTACTTTATGTACCCCGCCATTTTTATTTTTGGCTTTGAGACAAGGTCTCACTAAGTTGCTCAGGGCCTCACTAAATTGCTAGGATTAGCTTTGAACTTGTGATCCTCCTGCCTTAGCCTCCAGAGTTGCTGAGAGTCACAGGCCTATACCACCATGCCCGAATAATTTTTCCTTTTTCTAGGAATACCAGTCATACTGGATTAGAGCCCACCTTAACAACATCATTTTAACTTGATTTCCTCTAAAAGTCCTATCCAAATAAACTCACGTTCTGAGGTAGGCATTATAAGCCCTCACATATCTTTTGGTGGGAGGAGGAGTACACAATTGAACCCATAACAAGAATTTAATTTTAAACCAGGTTTTAGAATGAGATCTAATCATTATTTATAAATTCCTAACACTATACATTAAATGTTTTTATGCCTGAGTATTATCTCTTTCTATGCTTAGCCATTTAGCCAAGATCCTCTGATAACACTCCATGTTTTTTAAATAAACTCACCCTGAGCACCACAGTTCTGGGCCATTATGAGTCCTCCCCTTCCATTATGAGTCCTCCCCTTCCCTTCCCTGCAGTGCACCTCAGGTGGGTGGAGTTGACCAATTTAGCAGCAGACCTCTTCCTCAGCAGGCTTCCCCCAGAGGCCGTCATCCAGGAGTGATGGCAAGGGAGGGCAAGATAACTCCCAGAGAGGGAGTGAACAGATTGACAAGCTACTTGCCTGGTATAGGGTTCAAAATTATAAGGTAAGAGCATATGATAATCATAGCTGAAATTGGTTTGGAGAATTCTGAAACGACAAATTGAGATAGGTTCCAAAGGTGGTGTTGCTGTGTACTGCATTTATCTCATCTGAAGGGCTTGACAGCTCCTAAGGAGATAAACACAGTCGAAGATGTACTGGAAGAAGCGTGAGGCTGAATACAAAGCATCACTGATTCTTCTGTCCTGAGTGTAAGAAAAGGCAAGCCAGTGCTTAGTTCCGGTGTCCCTGGGAGGTAGCACTGTAATTCTAGGGCACAATATGACACAGTGCTGTGGAATGGCATCCATGGGCTGGGAAGATTCAGTGTCTCCTGGGTAAGGAAATAGGGGTGTCAGAGAACATATGGACTCCTCCCAGACCCAGGTTTCATGAAGTTTTGAACTGCCATTGGGAAATTGGGCCAATGGATGCAGGGTATCTGCCTTTTTTAAGAGAACCCAAAAATCCGGGGGTTTTTAAAATATGAAATTACTAGTTTTTGAAATTTTGGTCACTAATTCAGTTTTTGTCCTTTTTGTGTGCGTGTGTGTGTGTGTGTGTGTGTGTGGTTTTAAGATTCAACAAGCCAAAGAATACATGTTTATAAGCCAAATTTAGTCCTTCCTTAGGCTGCCACTTTGGAACTCCTGTTAATTTGTACCAAAATTTAATGCATTTCAACTGAACAGCCAGCTAGATAGCTATTAGTAATTTCTGCTTTGTTCTTTGGGGTTCAACAGAGTCACACACTTAATAATATTGTTTAGCTCTTGAAATCTGCAGGTTAAAAGACCACATGCCCATCAGTTAGCCTGAGAAATATGAATCATAAATAAATAAATAAATCCAGCAATAAGCCAGAGGGGAACATGGGTCTCCAGAGTGTCTATACACATGTGCCTGCCCTTACTTCACCACTCAACAGGAAGTTCTGTGTGCCATGCTCCAAAAGAACAATAGAGATTGAGAACCTCCAACCCCTCTGCTATTAGCATCCCTGTTGTTATCAGCATCATTATTATAGCAGCTGCAATAATAGCTTCCAGTTACCAATCACCTTGCAGAAATCATGTACAGTTTTCAGACCATCCTTTTAGCAGCCTTGAAAGGTGGGCACTAATTTCTCTCAATTTCCAGATGAAGATACTGAGACTTTGTTTTAGTTCACCCTTGCTTTGCTGTGACCTAAAGTCCAACAAAAGCAAAGTAAAGGAAGAAAAGTGTACTTTAGCTCTGTTTCAGAGGTCTCAGTCCACAGATGGCTGATTCCATAGCTCTGAGCCCAAGGAGGCAGAAGATAGTGGAAGGGAATGGTGGAATAAAACAGCTCAAGTCACGGCAACAAGGAAACAGAGCTCTCCATTCACCAGGGACAAAATATAAACCCCAAGGGCACACCCCCAGTGAACTGCTTCCTCTAACCTAACCCTGCCTGCCACCCAGCTAATCTATAATAGTGGATTAATCCATCAATTTTTAAGTTAAAACTCTTATAATCATTTTGTCTGTGAATATTCTTACATTGTCTCACCTAAGAGCTTTTTTGGGAGACACCACATATCTAAACCATAGCAAGCATTGGGGAATTAAAGCTATTTTTCACAAGATTTCCAGTTCTTTTTTTTCCCTCCATAGTTCAAGGTAAGAACAGAGGAAACATATTTTTCTAAATGCTTGTGAAGAGATATACTAAATTCTCACATCCCTAGGGGGTCATTTGAAATATTTCAAATTAAAACAATTCATTCCACAAAGGAAAAAAAAGGGGGTGGGGGGGTGGACAAAGGGAGCAAAAGAAGAGAAAGAAAAGAGAAATCAAAAGAGTTTTCTATTATGTTGCTATCTACTCAAATAACTTCTTGGAAAGAAAAACTGTAAGAGGGGTGGCCAGGTGCTTGAGGACAAGTGGCATTAACCAGGTTCCCATTCATGAGAAAGCTGTCTCCAAACCAAGCTGCCTGAGGCAACTAGCATGGAAATGTGTTCAGACAGACACTGAAGAGTTTTGGTTGGATGGTAAATTTTTATAGAGTGGAAATTTGAAAATCCAAGAGGTTCTGATTTGAATATAATAAGAGGAGAGAGACTTGCAGTGATTAAACTGGACGGAGCATAAAGTACTTGAAACACAAGGGTGGAAAAATTGTGGCAAAACTGGAAAATAAACATTTCCAGCCTCACTTTCCAGCTCCAAGTAAATCATGGAAAGTGCTGGAAGATAACATATTCTCGCTGGTGGGCTCCCAGGTCTTTGTTTGGTAACCTCAACTTTGGTCCTAAAAAAAAAAAAAAAAAACAGTATGCACTCCTGCTCATAAAGCACAACTCCCACCAAAGAGTCCTGAGAAGGCAGTCTTAGAGCAGGGTGTCTATAGATTTTGTTGGTATTTTCAAGTCACTGCTTTGCTGGTTGAGTCCTAATCTGCAGTTGGCCTCTTCCTCAGCTGTCCATTCTGTGCTCAGAGCCATCTCCTGCTTTTCAAAGGCGTTGATTTCACAGAGTTGTTATATATCAGTGAATGATTATGCTCCATTAAAACAAAATAAAGACAGAGCTTCCTACGTTGATATTATTTTCCTATATAGAGGAAATTGAAAATAGAACTTTAGAAGGCAAGGAACTTAAGCTAAAAATAATGCATAAGCTCATGAGTAAGAATTTTCCCATTCTTGTTATTTTTTTCCCCCGAGGCCAAACGATCACTTAATAAATATATACAAAGTAATCAGTGTGTCTTAAGAACTATCCTGGAATGCAGTTATGAATAAGAAATAGTTCCTGCCTTTGAGTTACTTTCCAGAAGTCAGAAGTTTGGTCAAGTCAATGAGCTAACTCCACGGATAGCTACTTGTTCAGAGTGTCTCACTAGGTTTTGGCAGGAAAGACAGGATGTAGGATGAACCTGATTTTTACTTACTCTAAGACTGACTTGCAACCTTTCCAAGCAAGTTGCTGGACTTTTCTCTTGTGGGACCTGGAATAATCATTCTTGTCTTGTAAACTTCACAGGGATATCACAAGTGCCTCATAGAATAATAGCTATCAAGTCCTTTGAAATCCTTTGAGTGTTATGCAGTCCCATCCTTAATAAACCTTTTTGAGGTCAGGGATACAAGGCAAATGTAAAATGGTCAGCAAAGGCCCGAAAGTGGTCCATGCTTAAATGCCAACTTTTTGGTGGTTGTCTTAAAATGCCACTGAAAAGGAAATGAAGTGGTCAGGCAGAGTATGGATACCTAAATGTTGGTGTTATGTAGTAACTATATACAACTTATGGCTGCTGAGATCGATAAAGTAAACATTTGTTTTTTATCCTGTATTCTGAGGAAGGAATGTCTTGTCAGGATTCCCCAAAAGACAATCTAGCTACTTGTGTTTGGCATGCCCTACAGAAGCTGGGGGACACACTGGGGAAGTAATATGCCTCCACCCCAGTGTGTACATTAGCAGCACACTAAGGGATCGACCCAACTCTTTGGGAAAGGATATATCCTGCCTTTGATTAACTTCTCGTCTTTAAATTCCACAAATGGACTTAGATTCATCAACATGTGTGAGTCTGGGGATTGTGTAGCTTTTAATTCTATCTGCCACAGCCAAATGATGATGGTACTTGGGAGAAACTGCTGAATGATAATAGCTATTTTCTAAGATAAAGCAAAAGTTTCAATATAACTAACAATAGATGCCTAAGACTATGTATGTAACCATGTCATATTAATTTAATAACACTGCAACCCTACGAGAGAGATAATATTACTAACTCACTCTTAAAGAAATTAGGTAGCTTTAAATCATTGCATTCTTGGTAGATCCCACTACTCACTGTTCAAAGAGATTTCAGTTTGACTAGGTCATGGTTTACGTTCTCAGTTTGTGAAAAGTAAATAGCTGATCCTGAGCCCCAGCTGGTCTTCAGGAAGTGGATATTGCCATGGGAAACTGAAAGAGCACAGAAACCAAATGTAGAGATTGAAGACAACATTAACTGCACAGTTCAGCCACCCACAGCTGGGCCTGTCCTCATCTGCTGTAGACCTGCCCACGAGAATGAAAACATCTAACAGCTGTATCTCTTTTCCAGTGTTCTGTTTCCTGTGGTGGAGGAGTGCGGATTCGCAGTGTCACGTGTGCCAAGAACCTGGATGAACCTTGCGACAAGACGAGGAAACCCAACAGCCGAGCCCTGTGTGGCCTCCAGCAGTGTCCGTCTAGCCGGAGAGTTCTGAAACCCAACCAAGGCACCATTTCCAATGGGAAAGATCTACCAACCTCTGAGCAAGACCCCTTAAAGCCCATCCCCCCACCCACACCCACGCCTACACTGCTTACCACACCCACCGTGCCTGACTCTATGAGCGCCAGTACTCCAGCAGTCAGTAGCACTCCTCCTGCCACAGCCTCCAAAGAGGGAGACCTGGATGGGAAACAGTGGCCAAATACTTCAACCCAAACCAACCTGGACTCCCACGATCTCATTTCCACTGGAAGCACTTCCCAGCCCATCCTCCCTTCCTGGTCTCTGAGTGTCCAGCCCCATGTTGAAAATGCTTCTAGTTCAGATACTGGTCCTACTGCAGAGGGAGGCTTTGTAGCTACCACAAGTAGTTCTGACTTATCTTCTGGCAATGCTGTGACTTGGCAAGTAACTCCATTCTACAGTACCTTGACCAAAGATCCAGAACCGGAGATTCACAGTGGCTCAGGGGATGACAGTGAACAGCCCAAGAACAAAGATGAAAGTAATACTGTTAAGTGGAGCAAGGTCGGTGGGCCTAGAAATGATGATCCAATGGAGAAAAGTACAGAGATGCCACTTGGACCTCCACCAACACCTCACATCGGGGAGGAGTCCTTACAGCCTCCCTCTAGCACAGTAATAGAAGGACCACTACCTAGTCAAAGACCCAGTATCCTGAAAAACGGGACACTCAGAGAAGAAGGGATGGTCACTGAAAAATCAAGTAACACTCCACTCCCTCAAGGGATACTCTCAGAAAAGTCTGTAAAAAATCACCACCTGGAACTTCCAAGCAACGCAAATGTAACGCAAGATTCTGAACCAGTCCTGACGGAGGAAGACGCGTCTAGCCTGATTGCTGAGGGGTTTTTGCTGAATGCCTCCAATTATAAGCAGCTCATGAGGGACCACACTCCTGCATACTGGGTTGTTGGAAACTGGAGTGAGGTAAGAGATTCTGTTTCCTATCCCTAATCTGATTATACATGGAAAATAGCTAGCAATGTCGCATTCTTGTGCAAATTTTAAAATGAACTTACATTAAAATGTAGTCTAATGTGGAAAAAATTGAAAGCTGTCAAGTCAATGCCAACTCCTCAAATGGAAGACAGAATACACACACACATACACACACAGAGAGAGAGAGAGAGAGAGAGAAACATATGTGGTGAGATACAGTGAAAAGAACTCTGGACTGAGTCAGGAGATCTGTGAAAGGCAGTATTAAGATCATGGAAAATTCATCTTTCTATACCTGATTTTTTTTCAATATTTACTTTTTAGTTGTAGTTGGACACAACACCTTTATTTTATTCATTTATTTATATGTAGTCCTAAGGATTGAACCCAGGGCCTTACACTTGCTAGGCAAGTGCTCTACCTCTGAGCCACAACCCCAGCCCCATATCCCTGATTTTTATCTACAGAATGACAGGGCTAGTGTAATCACCTCCAATGTCTCCTCCAGCTATGATGTACAATGATCCTGGGGTGAAGAACAACTGAAAGGGCCTAACTTTGCCCTTCAATCACAAAGCTAATACTGAGGCTTGGTTTAAACCTGTGAAGTGATCACATCTAGAATGGAACTCTAAGACCAAACTCTGATAGAATTTTACAGAGCTTACTATATAAATGATTTTTTTTTCTTTTTTTGTCTAAGTGTTTACATTGAAACATTTCACTTTGGCTTGTTGGAAGAGTTAAAATATAGGAAAAGAAGAAAATAAACATGATGATAAAATGTTGACCCCTGTTTTCAGGCTGCAGAAATTTGGCTAGAAATGGAAAAACAAATTTTTTCCATTTCTAGAACTAATGACATCCTTTGAAGCATGAAAACCATTTTTCACTTATTTGAATTTTGAATGTACAGCATATGAACTTGTTAAAATAACATGACACCAGGTACAAAAAATAGAGTCTTGGAGGGTGGATTTAGCTCTTCAGTGGACAACTTTCCCTCAGCACTGGCTGGTGGGCCAGGAGGGGTGGAGCTCAGTCTGCAGGCTCCAACACATTTGGCCCGTTTGGGTTGGAGTTAAGAGGGAACAAATTGTAGCTCTGTCCCACAAACCTTTCCATAGCTGGTGAGTTCTACAATTAGAAACCCCAGAACAAAGTGTCCTCATTTTAACTAATTTAACAAGAAGAAATATTAAATCACTTTTTGTTTGTTTTGTGCTTTTACTTTTTTCTTTGTTGTTGTTTTTTTTTGTGTGTGTGTGTGTTGCTTTATTTTGTTTTCTCTTATTTTTTTTATATTTCTGTCAAACTTTATGGGTCTTCTAAATTAATTGGATTTTTTCTTGTTATCTCTTCTTTTTCATTTTTATTCCTTTCTCTCGCTTTCTGTTTTCTTCTTTCTCTCTTTATCTCTTCTGTTATTCCTCCCCCTTTTTATTCTTTCAATATATTTTAGCATTATGTATACTATCATTAATACCCATTTTTTTTACCCCATTCTATATCATTACTCCCCTTTCTTCTCTTTGGTCCGTGGAGTTGTAGAGGTCATCTGCAGGATGCAAAACGCACAGTTCCCTGATCATATACCACAATGAAGATGGTTTCATCCCAGAATACAAGGATGGTTCTACATATATAAACCAATAAACATAATTCATCACATAAACAGAATCAAGGGTTAAAAACACATGATCTTCTCAACAGATGCATAAAGCCTTTAACATCCCTTCTGGGTAAAAACCCTGAAGAAACTGGGTATAGAAGGATCTTTTAGTCTCTATTTCATTAATTTCAGCTCTGATCTTTTATTCTTTCTTTCCTTTATTATTCCATAATGTTGAATCTCAAGCTCTCAGAAAAACAAGATCAAACAGTAGAAGGAAAGAAATAATGAACAAAATAGATAAGCACAGGCAACAACTTCCTAAATAGGACTCCAATCATCAGGAAATCACAGCAAGGATTTATGAATAGGATGGCACAAATGTAAAACCTCCTGCACAGCAAAGGAAACAACACAACGAAGAGAGAGCCTACAGGATGAATAACTTATGTTTCTCCAGAATCTAGACAAAGAGACAAATCAGTAATTGGGTTATTCTTCAGGGGGTCTTCTCTCCATTAGAACTATAAGGTTGGACAAGCTCTTCTCAGTCCATAAGTTAATACAATGGTTTTACTGAAAGGCAGCTATGGGAAGACCCAGGAATTTTATTTCTTTCCCATCCTCTTATCTTTTCATTTATCCTCAAATCCCAGAGCACTTGTAGAGTTATTTCATTTAAATGTATCATAAGGATTTTACCCTGATACTATTTAATATATGTTAATTAGTTGATAAATACGAATTGATTTAATAATATATTACTATATCCATATAAACTGAGCTACAATGATGACATCAACCATGATGACTATGTGCCCAGAGGCCAGTACATTTTTATTTTAATAAATCAAAATACAAAGAAATAATTTTGTCTTGAATATCATCATTCGATTTTTGACAGCAATAAACTGTCTTACTGAATAATAATATCACAGTTCACCAAAAAGTTGGCCATAATGGTGGAGCCATAACTCTGGGCAGTTTGGTTGGGAAAGGGAATTGGCCTGTTGTAAAATTTTTCAGAGTTATTAGGATATTAGGAAATTGAAGTTCTACATTTGTGGGAATCTCCCTTATGACAGCATTTGGTGCCTGCTCCCTTCGTGCACGTTTTGAGCTCAGCTGTTTTGTGTGTAGAGAGAGGGTCAGAACTCAGATTGGAAGCTCTGGGTTTTGAGTTCCTTACTGTGCCTGATTTTTGTTTCTGCTCATTGCTGAAGTTGTGTCTTTGGGTTTTGTCTCTCTCTGTAATGGATCACTTTCTTTCAATCACCACTTTAGAAACGCCAGAATCACCCTGGGTGTCAATCTGCCTGTCCTGCTTAAAAACAACAACAACAACAAAAACAAACAGTCTTTCAAGTCAGTGTCACTTCATCATTTGTCACCTCCTTTAGTGCCTCTGTCAGATGAAGGTCCAGTGGTTTCCAGTTGGGTGTTAGGAGGATATGGATATGAGTGGGGATGCAGTTAGGATGAGAAGGAAAGGCTGCAGCCAGTCTCCAATATTGGAAAGTCAAGAATGAGAAAAGTCCCAGAATGTTCAGGGAAGTTCCTTATAAAGAAGAATTATAATGCCAGTGGTGCCTCAGTACTTGAGAATACAGGACCCTCATTTCCTACTTTTACCTAGGACACCGACCCTTGCACCTTTGCTGGTCTGGGCACCTCCATACTCTCCCTTCTCCAGTCTTATCCATACACCCTATTGCAAGAGATATAAGACTGCCAATCTAAAAGGACTGTTCGAATGGTTCTGAACTTCTGCTCACAAAATCTCTGATGTTTCCTTATTTCATACCAAATCAGATAAAATTCATGCTCACCTAGCATCAGCACCCTTCAGAGCCTCACATGATCCACCTTTCCCCTTACAGCCTCCTCCCTGTCTTCAACACATCTAGACTGCTCAGTTTCCTTTAAACTGCTATCTGTCCAGTACAGTGCTTTCATGCATGCTGTTTCCTCACTGGAATTTCTGCCCCCTCCCCCTCTGCCTCTTCATATCCTAGCTGTTCTTCAGGATCAAGCTTTTGTGATTCCTAAACAAGGAAGTAATTTCCATTTTGCAGTCCCACCAGCCATGTGTGCCTTTTCCCCCACATCCTCACCAGCACTTATTGTTGTCTGTACTCTTGATAACTGCCATTCTGACTGGAGTGAGGTGAAATTCTAGAGTAGTTTTGATTTGAATTTCTCTAATAACTAGAGGTATTGAACATTTTTCATTATACATGTTGATCGAATGTATATTTTCTTCTGAGAAGTGTCTGTTCAGCTCCATTAGCCCATTTATTGATTAGATTTTTGTTTTTTGGGGTTTTTTTAGTGTTAAGTTTTTTGAGTTCTTTCTATATCCTGGAGATTAATGCTCTATCTGAGGTACATGTGGTAAAGATTCGCTCCCAAAATACGGTTCTCTCTTCACCTCATTGATTGTTTCTTTTGCTGAGAAGAAGCTTTTTAGTTTAAATCCATCCCATTTATAAATTCTTGATTTCATTTCTTGTGCTTTAGGAGTCTTGTTAAGGAAGTTGGGGCCTAATACAACATGATTAAGATTTGGGCCTACTTTTTCCTCTATTAGGCATTGGGTCTAATTCCTAGGTCCTTGATCCACTTTGAGTTTGGGGGAAATTTTTTTTTTAATATTGATCTCAAGGCTTCAGACCCGAAATTCAGATGGGTTCATGTGGGTGGAGGCCCATTATTGGCATCGTTCTGTGGGCAATCTTAGCCTCTAGAACAGGGTCCCAGTCATGGGCGTGTCTGAGGAAGCCATCCTCAGCCTGTCTTCTCTTTTCCCATCCCTGCCGCAGTGTTCCACCACCTGTGGGTTGGGGGCTTACTGGAGAAGTGTGGAGTGCAGCACCCAGATAGACGCTGACTGTGCGGCCATCCAGAGGCCTGACCCTGCAAAGAAATGCCACCTTCGCCCATGTGCCGGATGGAAAGTGGGAAACTGGAGCAAGGTAATCTACCAGGCTGTGTCCGGGGGTGGGTGGAGGAATCTTCTGTAAGTATTTGCTAAAGTTAGTTTCTCTCCTCCCTTTCGACATTTTTCATTCTTCTCTGCCTCTTTTCTTTTATGAAATCATGTGTGGGTAGTCACGGGATTACCATGGGCCTGATTCAAGTTACCCAAAAGTCTTAGAACTGCACAGTTTTTATTAACTCGCCTGTTTTTGCCTGCATGTCCTTTCTCTTACAAAACAAACTAGAATTAAAAGTTAAATTTGTATAACTAATTGCTTTGTCCAGCACGTAGCACTATTTCATTATACTGCTAAATTACTTTAATTTAGAAAGTATAAAGAATAATTATATATTATCATATATATAATTAAACTGTGGCTCAGCACCTCTTCACAAAACAACCCTACAGGTTTAATCTGCCAGACTTAAAAATGAAAAAAAAAAAAAAGCCAAGGCAT